GTATCACCTATCAAACATCTTAAAATATATTACAGCTGTAAATAGAACAAATGGTCTTTAGAAAATTTATCCTCAATATTTATACAGGAAAATCAAAGTAACACTTACAAAAACACATTATCAAAATTATTATCTTCTTCACAAATCTTCAAGACGTGTTCCACCATTGTAGTACCTAAAACATTTGATGTTGCTCATCATTAAAGCATCACACACCATTTTATAGAGTAGTGCATGAAAAAAATTATGAATGTTCTTTTTTATGTGTTTATGACTTTATTTTGCAAAAGAACAGATGAATAAGCTATGAACTTTAGTATCTCTAACACAGATATCTTAAATACTAACAAACACTATATTTACAAACTCGAAGGTTTTAGAGGCAATGTAAATGTAATTACCAATGCCTAGTCTTCTGTATGGAGCCAGACAGCCCAGTGTCATGATGTACAGGCGTCTCTGTTGGTCTGAGTTATCCACTCGGCAACACACAGCCCCGACCACAATGTCATTGAAATACGCTGTATTGAGAAATAAAAATACAGTTAGCATTCTAACAAAAACTTCCCTGAAATACCATATATTGAACTGATCCCTTTTTTTCAAAGAAACTGGATGTGAAAGAATCTAAAGCTCACCTAATTTTGCTAATTCTCCCACCTCTAGAACATCTTTATAGAATTTGTCATTGTATGTGACAGGAAAGACAACCTGGTTAAGGAGTTTCAGTTGCTTAATGTTGTGAGGAGTTATGTCTCCTAATTCAGTGTTTCCTCTGAAATCAAAGACCAATATCAATTTATTTAGTCAACTTAATGCAATATCAAACCTTATTGTCTGCAGATTATCTATACATTTGCATGTAGCTCCCTGGACTGAACAATTTGGATAGAAAGAGCTACAAACTCATGCTTTTTCGTTACACTTTTACAACATTGGCTTCACTTGAACCCTAGGGGCCATTATTAGTGTAAAAATGCATCTTCATTTCTTGTAAGGCTAGAATGATACTTTCTTCTTTTTTTTGAAAATTGATAATCACAACATTTGAGCCACAATACATCATTACATGTATTATAATATTTTGAATTAAATATAAATCTTCTTTGTGTATATCAAATGCACATCAGTTCCATACGTCGGATCCATAATATCAAAATACAGTCCCAGCCCTAGTTACTTGAGGATCCTTGCATATAAATCTATCATATCGGACAGTCACGTTTACTTTGGCCTTTATTTTAAAAAAAAAATCTCAGAAAGGGGGAGGGGGTTTATAACACCGTCCTAACGTCAGGTTCCTGCGGGACACTTACTATATTTAAATATTAAAAAATGAAGCACCCCAGGTTTAAATTAAACAAAATATGCATTTACAGCGGTATAGATAACACATTTCTAGCCAATTTGTCCAGATACTGAAAAACAACGAACATTCGAATTTCCTCTCTCTAGACATGCCTTTTACAACATTGAAATTCAGCCTTATGAAAAAAAAACAAAGGTATGTCTGCGGCAAAGTAGAAATGATTTAAAGTTTACACACTATATTTTACGAAATGGAGATGCAATATCCAAATAAAACATGTTTTACCGTGTCATTCTGTAAACAATTCCCGCTTTTCACGTTTCTAAACCTTTCCTATCTCATCTACACGCTTTGAATATGTTGCCACAATGTCGGATCACATACAATGAAACATAAATCTGACGAAGATCGAAGTGTTACTCATAAGCAAGCAGTACATAAACTGATTCGTACTGTTCGCAACGGAGGGATAAATGATGATTTCTAGATTTTCAACAGATCTGTAGAATGTTCTCAAGCAACACAAATATTTTTTAGAATAAAAATTAAAAGTTTTTTAAAAACAAACAAATTTAAAAAAAAATGCAATATTTAATAAAATATACAATTTAATTTTGCTATGGTAAACATTTTCTTTAGACATACCCCCACCCGGCCCAATTTTATTGCTATAAGGTCGAGTACCTTTTTTTGAATCAATGACATATACTTTTAATTAATTAATTGATAAGATTTAGAACTTTACAATAAATATTAAAATCCCCCCCCCCCTCACTTTCAAATAGGACTTAAAATGTGTTATCATAGGCGTCGGAACCGGGTGGGGGGAGGGGGGACTATGGGGGCTTAGCCCTCTACTTTTTTGCAAAGATAGATATAAAATATGTATTTAAAATTGGGGTTTACCTTTTTTTGTTGGTTTAGGCCCCCCTCCCACTTTCAATTAGCCCACCCACTTTCACTTTGTTTCCGACGCTTATGGTTATTTTTAACTGTATCATTGTCATGTCACTTTTAAAGTATTATAGAAATGCTAAAACTACAGTGATTTTTTTTTATTAATATCAAAAGTGTACACTTAGAATTGACATTGTCACTCATTTTCTGTTTTGTCCTCTAGTTGTGCACATTCACTGTAAATATCATTAAATATTTTTATAATATACATATACTTCCGATTCGTGCACTTTGTCGGCACAAATGAATGTTCAACAATTATTTTACACAATAAGGAAGGTTAACAAAACTTTTAATCCAATTCAGTAAGAGATAACTGCTTTCCATATATGAATGACAGCGAGATCTCGCTGATCACGGAGATGCGTCTGGTTGCTAGGGAGTTGCGCCTGTGCCAGCCACCGGAAGCGAAGGGATTTTCACAAGCATCCTTAATGGATTTATTCTGTAGGAGCATCTCTGCGTAAACCTTGTCATTAGGGTCCTTGCTTTTTTTCACCATCTCCTCTAAATAATCTCTGTCGTGATCGATATTATACTCTACAAGTACATAAGTTCAGAAAGCTATTGTATTAATATATAATAGATATTATAGATCTATTCTACAGTTACACCAGAGAGAGAGAGAGAGAGAGAGAGAGAGAGAGGCAGAGAGAGGGGACTTTCATTTCACGCCCAACAGGCTTTTCAATATTGACTCAACGTTGCGCTTTAACGTTGACTCAACACTGATTTACAATGTTGACTCAATGGTGCACTACAACGTTGAATCAGCGCTGAATTTTCGTTGGATATGAGAGTTGAGGCAACGTTGAGACATCAACGTTGTTTCAACGTCGATTTTCAAAGATGAATAGCTGTTGAAATTGGATTGAACGAACTTTAATTGATTTGTATAGTTGAATTTTGGTTGCAAATGAATGTTGAGACAAAGTTGAACGTCAGCATTGTTTCTATGTCAAATATTTACATTGAAAACAAGGTTTAACATTGGTTTAGATTAATTAAGCTGATTTTGGTTGACATTAATTTATTGTATTTACATAAACTCTGTCGTGATCATGCAACGTACATGTATATTTTGTAAATGGAACTTCATTTTTGTTTAAAAACTCAGGTCATATACATGTAGGCGTCGAACCGGGGGGGGGGGGGCTAGGGGAGGGCTTTACCCCCCCCACCCCGTTTGCAAATATACCCGGTGTGCATAATATAGGCATTGAAATTTGGGATTTATCTTTCATCCTTTTTTTGTTGGTTTAGTCCCCACCTTCATTTTGCTTCCGACGCCTATGCAGGTATTGAATTAGCTGCAGAACTGTAGCTCTCCGAAAAATATATTGATAGACCGGAGAGCTACAGTGCCACCCATTGAAAAAACTGTATATTTATTGCGCAAAAAAAAGTGCGCTGTTTATCGATTTATTTCTCCATGTTTTTAAAACTATAATATCAAAATATTACTAATCATGTATTTCTAACATAATCTTTCACTGCATCCACAACAAAACATACCTTATAGGTGTTGTTTGTAGCCCTCCTGGTCCTGAAATTGAGATTATCGAAAATTTTGTCTGTTTATACTGCCATTTTGGTTTGTAGGATAATTCGGCCCAACGCACTTCATGTAGATGTCAGCTACGAAAGTACTTGATAGAAGAGTGCGGAATTTTTTGAAATCTGATTTTTTTTTTTTTGCAATTGGGGTAAGAATTTAGAAGAATTAATCCATACAGAAGCGCAACTTTTTGTGCGCAATAAATATACAATTTTTTCAATGGATGGCACTGTAGCTCTCCGGTCTGTCAAATTATTTTTTCGGAGAGCTACAGATCTCCGGTCTGTCAAATTATTTTTTCGGAGAGCTACAGATCTGCAGCTAGTATTGAATAATTTGTGAAAAACTCACCAAATTTCTGAAGCAGCTTTATCGCCTCAGCTTTGATGATAGAGTTGGTTTTGAAGATGGTTTTTAGTATTGTGAATCCGTGACTGTCGCGGACGGCCATGTTACAGCCATTCTTCAGTAAGAGCTCCATACAATTCAGACTGCTCTCTATCACCGCTATAAACAGACTGGTCCGACCCTTAGCTCCGGTAGCTTCAATATTAGCACCTAGATTATGGAGAGACAGATTAGGGTAATGATACAAATTTCATCATATATAGAATATCTTTATCATAATAATACATTGGAGGTACTGTTCAAAATGTAAACATCATTGAGGCACGTGAATGTATATATAAAACAGCTAGGCCTTTTAAAAACAAATAATTCAACAAAATTTTGCTATTTTTTCAGAGTTACCTGCGGATATCAGTGCTTCCGCGATTTCTTCATAGTCATTGTACACGGATCTCATCAGAGGAGTGTAATTATGAGGGTTTTTTAATTCCAAATTGCACATCCCTTCAAAATTAAAGGTATTTTTAAAAATCTTATACTAGTATAAAAATACATGTAAGTGTTGGGATGAAACATGATGGGAGCATAAATTCCTTTATTCTGTATACAGTACAATCTGCATTTGATGATAAGAGTGTTTGAAATGTCCTTTGTGAATTAATAATTATATATATATGAGTGCTTGAAATGTCCTTTGTGAATCAAGAATTATATGGGTGGGTTCAGAGTATTTTGTGGGAAGTTAAGAGTAAAGCCTAATTATAGTAGATTTCTTTTATCACTACATTGTATTTCACTGTTTTTCATTATTAGGGCTACTGTCTTTAGAGAAAGCGAAAGCCCGTCCACTTCAATGCATTATACTGTTGATTGATGAACATGTACAGTTTACAAGTACAGAGGAAAAAAAATTAAATTATATTCTTCAACAAGTTTTTAGCTGTCCTCTACAAAAAAAATCAATTAAAATTTGAAAATGAGAATTAATTTTGCAGTCAAGATTTGCAAATGTACGGTGGTATATTTCGGACACGCAATTATTTTTTTTTTAAACACCAGAAAAAAATTATCTTGTGAAAACGACATAATTATCTTGTGAAAACGGGATATTATCTTGTGAAAACGACTTATTATCTTGTGAAAACGAGATATTATCTTGTGAAAACGAGAAATTATCTTGTGAAAACGAGATATTATCTTGTGAAAACGAGATAATATCTTGTGAAAACGACTTATTATCTTGTGAAAACGAGATATTATCCTGTGAAAACGAGATATTATCTTGTGAAAACGAGATAATATCTTGTGAAAACGAGATAATTATCTTGTGAAAACGAGATAAAATCTTGTGAAAACGAGATAATTATCTTGTGAAAACGAGATATTATCTTGTGAAAACGACTTATTATCTTGTGAAAACGAGATAATATCTTGTGAAAACGAGATATTATCTTGTGAAAACGAGATAATATCTTGTGAAAACGAGATAATTATCTTGTGAAAACGAGATAATATCTTGTGAAAATGAGATATTATCTTGTGAAAACGAGATATTATCTTGTGAAAACGACTTATTATCTTGTGAAAACGAGATATTATCCTGTGAAAACGAGATAATTATCTTGTGAAAACGAGATAAAATCTTGTGAAAACGAGATATTATCTTGTGAAAACGAGATATTATCTTGTGAAAACGACTTATTATCTTGTGAAAACGAGATAATATCTTGTGAAAACGAGATATTATCTTGTGAAAACGAGATAATATCTTGTGAAAACGAGATAATTATCTTGTGAAAACGAGATAATATCTTGTGAAAACGAGATATTATCTTGTGAAAACGAGATATTATCTTGTGAAAACGACATATTA